TCCGATCAGTGGATGTCGAGATATTATCCTTCAAAGTTCGGGCAAAAAAATATATACTCTTAGCCAATTAGATCGCCTGAATATAACTGCGGATCATGTGACACCGCGCGGACTTCCGTTGGATGTTATGTGATACTGAGCCCTAAGGCCATCATTCTATTGCATCGGGTATACCCGAATACATATAAGTCTTCTGCCATTTTTATATAATATAATTCTGCAGAAGACTTATCTTCTGATGTATACCCGAACACATATAAGTCTTCTGCCAATTTTTTATATAATAGATTTCGCAGAAGACTTATCTTCTCTTGCTAATTTGTTTATTAAGTTTGTATACCCATATCCATACCATATCCATATCCATACCCATACCCATATCTAGATACATACTAAAAAAGTGTAGTCTTATGCAGAATTATATTATATAAAATGGCAGAAGGCTACACTAGTCCAATATTTTTGCGCACTTTCCTAGATAACATATATACCTGAATACATACTAGTGATAAGGTAGTCTTCTACCAATATTTTTGCGCACTTACCTACCCTAGATGTCATATCATACCCGAGTACATACTAGTGATAGGGTAGTCTTCTGCCAATATTTATATAATAGATTACGCAGAAGACTACCCTAAATGCTACCTATTAAGAACATGTTTATCCGTGTTTCTCTACCCATCCTGCTACATGCTTCTTTTTGCGTTCACTGAAAAAAATAAATTAAACATTTCAGAATTATATTGGAGTATATAAAGTTTTGCCTACTGACACAATGCATACCTCAACTATTTCTGACCAAACTGATCACACTAGATCTGGCCTAATGCTCGCCCGCTACAACGGCACCGAGTCTGATGAATACTTAAGTGACTCTAGCAGTTGTACTGATAATGGATCTAACTTAGAGTCAGATAATTATAATAACTACGAGTCTAATTATGAGTCAGACAATGAAGAGGCTACCCGCGTCTCAACCAGCACTATCAAGGCTCCATTAGTTCAGCTTCCAAATATACAAGAGCGAAATGTTAATGCAACATATACTTTAAGGCAAGAAAAGTTTAATGATAAATTTTCTCCTAAAGATTTGGTAAGTGCTATTCGGAAAATTCTCTCATCACCACCTAGAGATATGTCAGATGATAAAGGCTCACTAGATTACCTTCCAATCTATTCATTTCTCTTTCCGAATGAAAAAGGGTCTAGTTTATATAATGCCTATGATCGGGATGAAGTGGATAATAAATTAGTTATCAAAATTGACCAAGATGGTGATCGTGCCCCAAAGTTTTCCGTTGCAGATGACATTTCAGAAGTGTATGGTTTACCTGGGATTCACGAATGTATTAATGGCCAAAAGCCTTTAAGGGCTGTGATTGATATCGATGCGTCAAAAGAAGATATGGAAACAGCTAGTGTTATAGGACAGGAAGTATTTATTCGAATCTGTTGCTCTTTCATAAGAGCTTTATATCAAATTCTTGACTGTAGTTGGGAAGATATTCTCAAAGGGTTAGTAATTGCTTCATCTTCAGATTCTAGTAAATGCAGTTATCATATTTTATATACACCAGTTCTACTTATTGATCATAATGAACTTAAAGCATTCACAGAATTAGTATATACCTTAACAGATGAAAAATATGGTAAGTTTATTGATCAAAAATTATCTGGTCAAAATTTTAACCTTCACCTTATTGGTTTAGCAAAAAAAGGACGTGTGAAACGTATCCTTCAATTTTCACTAAATAATGGGTGAAATTTGATCACGTTAGAGTCCAACCACCTACTAGCTTAGGCTTTGAAGTAAGATCTCGAATACTTAGTACAGAAAAAAATAATAATCGGCTAAGAATATCCGTGGGTTAGGATGTATTACAGAAATTCGCAAATCTAGTTTTGCAAAAGCATTCTAACTATCTTAGGAATTGGACTATCAAAGAAAAGGGAGAGATGAAGGAAAACTTCGTATATTTTAGCTGAAAAGCTTCATTAGAATGTCCACTTTACAAACGTATACATGACAAGGATCAGCAGTGGTTCAGTCATGTATACGCTAGAAGTGGTGAATTTATTGTAAAATGTTTTCGGCAAAATAATAATAAGCATAGGAAAGTTTTTGAATGCGACCCATCTATTGCAGAAAAAATTCAGCAAGAAAATAAAAATTTACCACAGGTCTCTCACAAGATAAAGGGTCTAGGGTTTCCTAAAGTTTTCATAAAAATACCATCTTGGGTTAAGTATAATGAGCCTCTTTTAGCAACAGAAACATATGAGGAGAGATATATAAGACCATTACCTAATGAAGGTGATATTTATATAGGGTCGCATTGGGAAACTGGAAAAACATACATTCTCAAATATCTTACTATATCTAACATTGTGAATTTATTAGCATTATCTACGCATTATTCTTACTCAAATGCTATTACTACAAGACTTAATCTTAAGTCATATTGTGATATTGATGGTAATATAAATCTTTTCGATTACAAGAGGGTGGTATGCCAGATAAAAAGCTTACATCGTATTACTAATAATTGTAAATATAATAAAAAATGTAAATGCCATCCAATCTAATATGATTTATGGCTTGATAAAATAGTATCTGTAAATGCTCGGGTACAAAGTCATTTAGCAGGGCAATCAATAGAGAAATTGTATAAACTAATTCAAGAAGCGAGACGCATTATCGTTATGGATAATGATCTTACTGATCTTAATATCAAATGGATTAAAGCTCTTTGCAAAGATAAACTATTTTCAATTATTCATAATACCTACCAGCCTCAGAAAGGTAAAACATTTTGCCTAGCTTCTAATAAAGAAACTGTGTTAGCCGAACTCTGAGATTGGGCCAAGAAAATGTCTTCATTATCTTTTGAGTCTTGGAAAAGTGCTTCACTTATTTGCTATCTCAGAAAAGATGTACAAGGAATTGTTCGCATCTTTAAGACTGATTTTTACGAATTGCAAATCAAGGAATATCATGGCAAATCTGATCTGATGGAAAAGGCTCAAGATTTTAGTAATGTAAAATAATCATGGAAAGACTTAGATCTAATTGCCTATACTAGCACTCTAAAAATAGGAGTATTATGTACCAATCCTAAGTTTGAGTAGACTTTTTGTCTTTTTAATAGCTACATAGAAACAAATGCAAGAACAAATCAAATGCTATTCTGTATGCGATGCATTAAAGATTATATATGCCATATCGAGCAAAGATCATCTAATGCTCCCATTACAGAAGAAGGGTTATTTTAATGGTTATTGAATGCCAAACGTGAATGTCTTCCCTGAGAACTTCAGAACAAAGGAATATTTCCTAACATATATTCTATCATCAGTAACAAGAACGTACCAACTGTTTGATTATGGGTAGCATATATGTTAGAGAAATTCTGTTCTTATCATTTATTTGGTTGGAGAATGATCGATTTTCTCTGAAAGGTGAGTATGGTAATTTCTATCATAGAACTTATACCTAAACCTAAAGATAATATGATATCATTATTCCAAATAATAAAGGTGAGTTCATCTATCATTAAAGCGAAGGAGATAGCAGATGTTTCTGATGCTACTATTATTGATCGTGAGACTGCTGAATTTTTGGAGAATAAACCAAAGAAGACTTTAGAAGAGATGCGCTCTTTAGACCAGTATTATATTATGGATTGCTATGAGATTTTGCTACTTTAGGAATCATTGACTGAGGATTTCATCTCAAAATATGGGAATTTCAATCATATTAAATGGTTTAGAGCTTATAGACAATTACAAGATGCTAATACTGATAATGTAATGGCTGTTGAGGCTATTACCCATAAAGATTATAGAGAGGATAGACTCACAACTGTGTCCCGAGCTGAGAGACATAGTATCTGCTTAGAATTGTTAAGAAATTGTACACCTGTTAAAGACATTGATGATAGGATACGATATAAAGCTGATGATGTCAAAACACGCATAGATTCTCTTAAATCGATATCATATCTCCAGGGTTTAGTGCCTAAAATAGCTTGAGTATTTAATAATATAGATGCAACGCATAGTGCTAAAAAATTGGGACTAAAAACAATTCGGGCAAAACTTAATTTACTAAACTTAGCACTTTACGCAACATATAGGTTGAAATTTAAGGCTATAGATAAAAATCGTAGACATTATCATCTAGTAGGTTCATTCAATAGTAAAGATGCTTCTAGATTACCTTTATATTAAACGGGTAAAGAAATTTATTGGGTAAATGGGAAAGATATTCAGTATAGATATAGTAAACTCCCACCCGATGAATTGATATTATAATCTTATTAATTCTAGCAAAGTGGATAATATGCAAATCACAGAAGATATTCAGGACTTATTTGATATATGCTAATACTATTCGATTGCAAATCAGGTAGGTGAAGCCTTCTTCCATTTTTTTATATAATAATTCTGAAGAAGGCTTCATCTATCGGCATATATTATTAAAAAATATCTCTATCCTTATATCACTTCAGCCAGGATATATAGTCACATATTTTTTGCTCATTCCTTAGCAGACTCTAAATTTCGAGCTAATTACTAATCAAAAAGACTAAGATCTATAATCCTTATCATCTGACTCAGAAACTGGATCTTCATAGGTTCTGGGTTGAAGGATCCTAACCACATCACTCAGCTCGAAAATTGAAGTATCAGGAATTTTGGGTTGAAGGACCTCAGCCCCACACTTCTGCCTCATCTGATAATTTAGTGAATGAAATCTATCTGAATGATCGGGATAACATCCTGTAATAGAATCTGTAAGTTTACAACAATCACTAACAAGGCAGGGTTTTCTTTTCATATTTTTTCATATAATGTGTGATGTTTTGTATAGCTAGTAGTACAAGTGCAAACTCTTCTGCAAATAGTACTATCTCTCTTAATATATGGGCAAGTAATACAATCCATGTAAGTATTTTAGGATATAGAAACCTTTTAATTTTATTGCGGATTAATTTATAATAAATGTGTATTTAAATTATTCAGTAGTAAAATAAGACATAAACAACTTTTCTCACTTATGTTATAGACATAATGCAAAGAACGATACTCAATATACTAACCGGCCAATAGAGTAAGTCTATTTACTCTAGAAAAAAATAAACGATCCTCACTTCAGAATTTAATCCAAATGAATTATTCCAGTGATAGCTTGTCTACATTAATAGGGATATCTTAGGAGCATAAAGAGACAAAAGCTTGAAGGAACGATATACTTATAAAACTCCTATATTACCTGAATTTAACTTCTTCAAGGTATAGACCGGGTGCTTTATATGATGCATTAATCAAACAGATGTTTAGGACTGGAGCATATAATAACTCTAGCACAAATATTTTACTAAAATGCATTTACAATACAAATAAATCAGTACATAACCTTAGGATAGGGATCTCATGACCAGGGTTGGGAATTTTGTATGTATTAGATTAAATTAACACTATACTTGTACTGTACTTATACTAATTTTTATATTAATTATTATAATGTACTAACTGTACTAATTGTACTAATCATTGTACTAACACTGTACTTCCCAACCCTGCCTATGACTATATATTTTTTTCTCATATCATATCTATCTGCAGATTTCAAATCGATGAAATACCCTTTATAACTAGATTATAGGTTATATTATTATTTTTTTTTGCTCATCTGACCACACCGATCATGAATGAGATCATATTCATAGGAGGACTTTCACGTGATTTGTCGATCCCTAATCAATTGTCTATATATATTATTTATACAGTTTAAAGTACTTTTTAGTTTATGATATTCCCACTAATGTATCACAAAAAAATTTCATTTTTAGCTTTAAACAACCGTCAAGACTTTGTATGCAAAATAATCAAGAAATAATCAGAAACCTTGAGGTACTTCATTTATAGTAACAAGTATACTGCTTACTGGACCATGTGTAATTACTATATGCCAAGGACAATCTATTTCTTGGAGGGGAGTAACTGAAGATATTCTTACTAAAGGTCAGGCTAATAATACTTTACCGGCTTATGTTCAAAAAGACGATACAATTTGTTCATGTTGTTATAATGGAATCATAGTAAATAGTTCAATTAAATTTCAAGAACATGCTCAAATTAATACTCAACAAAATAAAACCACTGAATCTAAAAGTACTAATTCTATTTTATCTTTTCTGAGATAATAAAAATTATGACAGATATTCTATATAACTATAAAAAGAAAAAAAGTGCCAAACTTTATATTCATTTGATGAATTTCGGGCAACTATAGAAGTAAAGGATAGTAGGTTAAAACTTTTTTCGATGAATTGTATCTTTCTTCTAATCTATCTTCAAAAAATAAAGATTCACGAGTGCGAGTAAAAAAACAACTTTTATTTATGTTATTTTCTTTGTGGAATCCGAAATAAGTTTATCATTAATGCAAAAAGAGATTTAACGATGTATTTAGATTCAACTGGTACTACTAATAGTTCTATAGATACACTTTCAAATTTAGGTATAACCACAACATCTCGTACTATTACCTGATATAAAACTGCAGCATCTGAGAAACATAATGAAATTGTTGATTCTACACTTGCTGAACATGCAGATAAAGCAATGGTGTTGAATATCGATGACTATCATAGCATCCATACAAAATGAATGCTAAACATAACTATCACATCTACTGCTGCGCATTTAGCAAAAATTTTAATGAATCCAATTACTACACAGAACGCAATCCCGAAGTTGAATATACATAATCCTGAATTAGTTGATGCTAAATTAATCAAAGTAAATTTGGAAAATAGATATATGGTATTTTGTGGTTTTTCACATAACTAATGTTGGGGATTTCGTATAGTAGATGACAATACAAAGTTGAATGAACTAACTATACATAGTTATGATATCAGATTGAAAGAAAAACATAATGCCTGCTCTATGAAGGATGCAATTCTTGTAGATCTACAAGAAAATAATCTTCACTTCTTAGATGTATATATCAAAGCCATTAATACTGTTATAAGAGTTCTATCTATGCAACAATATATCCAAAAAGAATATGTTATTCCTATTGTTGCTGATTGACCTGGTCAAATTTATCTCAGAAAAGCAATATCACATTATCTACGTTATCATGATTCGTCCAAATTACTAATAATATTTTGTCTTTTCTTCCAATTATAAATCCTTTACATATTTTATTAAATAGTCGAGAGTTAATCTTCCTTTAATATCGGCCTTTTTTCTTTGAAATATATAAGTATATTTTTGGAGACCAGAAGCCTCTTGCACAAAAGCCTAAGCCGTAGCGGATTAATTTACTTTTAGAAATTGCTCGTATTGCTTGGCAGGAAATTTCTACGATTGTTGAAACAAAAATTTGGATTATGCAAAGATGCCGAATACCTTGCACTTAAGGATCTTCTTGATAATATGATTCCTTTAGTTTTAGATATCTATGCTGTTTTTTTTCAATCTGGTAACTTTGATGCCTACTCAGAGTCTTGCTTTCGTGTTTGGATAATATTCCTCAAATTTCGTTGTAGAAATTATACTAAGGCACTGTTAATGTTTCTTTCTGATATCTTTTATTAGGAATTAAATAACCATCCAATTTTAGAGGTCATTAAAGCTGAACTTCCAAAGTTCTCAAATGCAACTGTAGAAATATTTCATAGTTTTCTATGACAAGGTACACAAAACATATAAAAGCTCAGCAAATTATTAAATACAGCTATTATATTAACCAGTTACGATTAGATGATAATGGGTTTAGAGAAAACTTTGCGAATACATCAACATGGACAGCATATGAATATTCTGCACGAGATATTACAACTTTAACAAAGATACGTGTTTGTTTCCTTTTGCAATATTTTTCTGAGATTTATACACATATATTTTGCTATAAAAAATTCTTAACGTTTTCATTGTAGGCTGTAAATTCATCCTCAAAAAAAAAAGGCAAAGACAAAGCTAATATTATTGTTTCATTAGCTTCAATGAAAATTCTAGAAGCAAACTTGTGTCATCTTCCTTTAGGCTTTAATACTTCATATAAGCCTGATCTACTTCATTATTGTGACACATCTAATTGTTCTATTCTTTTACCTACAGATATCAAAATCCTAGCTTGCGGTTACACTTATCATAAGTTTTATTATAGCAATAATGGATTTAAATGTCTATATTGCCTCTCATTTTTACAAGATAATGTTAACGAACATGTCCGTTCTTATTAGAAAGTCTGCAACACTTCAATGAAACACAAGTTGAAGAACCCGATAATGATATTTCTTGTGAAGACAATGATGAATATAAACCAGTTGGATGCATGAAATTTACATTGAAAGAAGCAATAAAAAAAATTCCAATTATAATAGACATTTTAAAAATGGTGAGAAAATCAATGATATTATAGTTAATCAATAGTCAGACTTTATTTTAACTCAATTTACTGATTTAGCATTAGTCAAAAATTATAATAAATTACAAAAATTATAAAAATAAATAAATTATATATTACTTAAGATTATAAAAATAAATACTAAAATTATAAAAACTATATATTTTATTTATAAAATTGAAATAAATTATCTTCGAATGGCGCAGCTAATTTTATTGATCATGTTTATTATCATGTGCCATATATAAAAAATTATAATATCAATTACAAACTTTGTGTAACT